ACTCTTTCTGCTTTTATCCTCATTATTTTCTTTCCAATTTGCATTTATACAGTGCCCTGCAGTTTCCTGCTACCTGGCCATGTAGTGCTGCCTCCTTTGACTCTTTACACAGAGATCTCCTAATTGCTGTCTTAGATCCCTTCTCTGCATTTTTGCTGTGCTCCCTCTCCCCTTTGGAGCAATAAAAATCACAAGATCTTTCAGTCCTCTTTCTCCCCATCTCAATGCACACATGCACACACCACGTTGCCCACATCCTGTTAACTGTACTATTTCTTTGTCCCTGTCCTCAGTGTCCTAGTCCTGACCTGCACACACACCCCAACCCTTTCCTCTCAGAGTTCTTGACTGCTGATGTCCACTGGACACTGCAGTTTCTCAAAGCTCCCAGTACTCCTTCAGCCCAGTGTTCTTCCCTCTAGAGCTTCCACATCTACCAGGCATTTGGCTTACCAGTCTCAGAGAGCCCCTGTCCTTTATACTCCCTGTAGCTGAGTCCTTTGGGTATTTCTTTCCCTCTGCCAAGTCTCAGCCTCCTGCTGTGTGTGGAGACAGCTCAGGTAAAGGAGATGAACTGCACAGGAGCATCAGTTCATTTTGGATTCTCGGCAGCTTGTGCTGTTGTTCCTGGCTGAGCAATGGAACCACTGCTGTTTAAACACTTAGCACAGCTCCCTTCGTGCTCCATAGCTGCTCTTAAGACAGATCATAATCAGAGCTTTTAAGCTAGTTTTTATGAAGGAATGATTTTTCATGCGATTGAGGTGGAGGAGATCGCACTGGCTATTGGTGGACCACTTTATAGTCCTTCAGGACTCGCGTAAGGCCCACAGGCTGCCAAAGGAAAAGACCCTGTACAGTGATTCCTCCTGACAACTGCATGTAACACACCTCTTCCTACACCACATTTGGGCACAGGTATTAATAATGTCCAGGAGTAGAGAGCCACTTCTATCCATTCCTGCAGATTGCCTGATGTATTTGGGAACTCTTACTCAAAATGAGTCAATGGTTGTCTTAGAAAATGAGGGCTTTAGGATATAATTTCTCAGGGAGATTTAGTATGGGCAGGTTTAGCAAGTGTGTGATTCTTTGATGTCTGCCAACCTGTTTGGAGCACCTGTGGTTACTGACAACTTCTTTGTTTGTGTGCCTACAGCCTACAAGTGGATGTACAGAGAGCTGCACCCGAATGTTCCTATGCAGTATATGGCATGGGTCACATACCCACTTGTTCTTATTCTGTTTGCGGCCATTTTCTGCCACCTCGTCTCTCCACAGGCTGTTGGTGAGGGCAGAAGGCATGGCAAGATCTGTTTCTGTCTGTCTCATTTGTCTTATTTCATTTGTCTGGGAATTTTGTTCATCCCCTGCTCTCCTGTTATTTTCAGGGTCTGGAATACCAGAGCTAAAGACCATTATGAGGGGAGTGGTCCTCAAGGAATATCTCACTCTGAAAGCTTTTGTGGCCAAAGTTGTGGGCCTCACAGCTGGGCTTGGAAGTGGCATGCCTGTGGGGAAAGAGGTAAATATTGCTGTTTTCACATGCAGTAGTGGCCAGAATCTGGAAGGTGGGAGGAAAGTCAACTGTATCCTGGGCTGCATCACCTCTCTCATGAGACCCCACCTGGAATACTGCATTCAGTTCTGGGGCTCCCTACACAAGAGGGATGTGAACCTGTTGAAGCAAGTCCAGAGGAGGCCACGAAGATGATCAGAAGGCTAGAGAACCTCTCCTATGGAGACAGGCTGAGAGAGCTGGGGTTGTTCAGCTTGCAGAAGAGAAGGCTCTATGAAGACCTTATTGCGTCCTTCCAATACCAAAAGAGAGTCTACAAGAAAGCTGGAGAAGGACATTTTGCAAGGGCATGTAGTGATAAGACAAGGGAGAATGTCTTTTAACTGAAAGAAGGGAGATTTAGATTAGATATCATACTGAGTTGTTAGGCACTGGAACAGGCTGCCCAGAGAAGCTGTGGCTGCCCCATCCCTGGCAGTGTTCAAGGCCAGGTTGGACAGGGCTTGGAGCAACCTGCTGTAGTGAAAGGAGTCCCTGCCCATGACAGTGGGTTGGAACTGGATGAGCTTTAAGGTTCTTCCAACCCAAACCAGTCTGATTCTGTGATTCTACGAGTTGTCTGTACAAGAAGATTATATAAATGTTTTATTTGTTTTGCTACCATTCTTCTCCAAAGGTCTGCTCTTTCCAGCAACACTTACCTTATGTTGGCCATTTTCCTACTACTTTGAAAGGCTTGATATAGAAAACATCAAAGAAATTAAGTCAGGTGGTATTTAAGATGGGTAAAAAACAAAGATTGGAGGACTCGCTGACATGGCCAAAGAGAAATTTGGGATCTGCAATGGTTAAATGGTTGTCAGTAACCAGGTGGTAACCCTCTCTGATTTCTTCCTCTTCTTCTCTTCCAGGGTCCTTTTGTACATATTGCCAGTATCTGTGCTGCAGTACTCAGCAAGTTCATGTCAATCTTCTGTGGTGTTTATGAGGTAAGGCACATGTCTTTGTATACAGGTCCTCTACCGGTTCAACTCCTAAGACACATAGGATAGTATTGGTAGGCCACAAAACAATAAGGAAACACGTGGATTGAAGTTCACCCTACCCTATAAAGCAGTAAAATATAAGCCAAAGAAAATGGTAACGGGAAGCCAGATATACAGTCAAATAAGACCACCAATGTTACCTACCAATTACATGGAGGATGGTTAGGAATATGCATTTAACAAGTTCTCAGTCTCATGATGCTGATACCTTTGCACTATCGTCATTGTCTGTATTAAAAAGTAGCTGCAGGCAAAGATCAGTCTGTCTTTAAGCCAAAAAGTAGCTGCAGACGAAGATCAGTTTGTCTTTAAGCCAAATTTATATAGCCTTGCTAATTATAGACACTGACACTGTCTGGGCTTTTGCTGTCACAGAACAGCCTCTGCAGGCTGATCACTGTATTGACTAGTTGTATAAAAAACCCCATTCACTACATATATAGCTACATGTAGGAACTGCTTTACATACAGACTCTTAGCAGAAACTGTCTGTGTAGTACAACAATGGGAGGTGCTGTTCTACTTGAGTAGATCCTTTCTACTGTCCTGTCTTAAGGACCAGATGTCACTGCTGAACACCAGCTGACAGTACTAAAGACCGCGCTAAATGTGTAAAGCCTGCTATTTGTAATAGCAATGGCTGAATCTGCTGCTGGCTGTTGCTTTGTTTCATTGTTCTGGATCCTAACCCCCTGGCTTTGCTCCCTCTAACCCCAGCATGCCCTTCTCTGGCTGCACTCTCTGTTCCAGAATGTGCATAGGCAGTTCGACCTCCTGGTGGCGGCTTGTGCAGTTGGAGTTGGATGTTGCTTCGGGGCTCCTCTTGGAGGCAAGTGTCTTCCTATATGACATTTGATGTATAGCTCATTTAGCCTCTTGCTGTAAGATTTTGTGCTCTGAGGAAAGGTTCTCCACAGATACCTTTCCACTCTAGCAACACGAGTTTCTTTCTGTGTGTAACCGCTGGCAGTGAAAGAAAGGGAAGGTTATAGGAAAAGTGACACCTATTAATGTGCTGATTTCTGATGATGCAGCCTGTTCAGTCCCTGCCTGCCATGGACATTGTTCAACCTGGAGAACACCCAGGGCTGTCCAGAAAATCAGTAAGGACCAAGTAAAGAACAGAAGTAAAAAAAAAAAAAAAAACCCAAAACAAAAGAGGGAATAGCAGGAGATGATGGCAAGTATGGCAGGAAGTGATAATACAAACAGGGAACTACTCCATGAATACTTCATCAGTGGACTGAAGAACAGAATTATCAGTGTGTAATGGTTTGGGCTCCCCATATGAGAGATGTGAAAGGCCAATAAGATGTCTGGGAAGTTGGAGCAATTGTACATGAAGAGAAGCTGCAGGAACTGGGTTTACTCAGCCTAAAGGAGAAAAGGCTAAAGGGGGATGGTCTAACAGATGTTATCAACCACCTAAAGGGGGATTTTAATGAAGATTTATCCAGGCTCTTTTCAGAGCGGCACAGTGCAAGAGAGAATGGGCACAACTTGCAACAAGGGAAATCTGACCATGTGTAAGGAAAATACACTCCCTTTCCCCAAGGGTGGTTCAGCACTGGCACAGATGCCAAGAGGGTCCAGGGAATGTCCACCCTTGGAGATGTCCAGGACTCACCTGGACAAGAACCTGATCTAGCCTTGGAATTAGCACAAGTCTGAGCAGGGAGTTGGAGACATCTCCAGTTGTCACTTCCCACCTTTCTAGACCCTGATGTGAGGAGAAATGTGGATATTTATCTCTGACCCCTCACATTTGTACTAGTCTCCTCATTCATGGAATTTCCTTCAACAGCACATGTGCCAGAAGCGCATGGTAAATTCTTTCTAAAACAGTGAAAGTATATTCATAAATCATTTGTCTTTAAATGTTTTCCATTCTTTGTTGTGTCTTCATTTCACTTTTCCCCCTGTGCACTGTTCTGAACATCTCTCCATGGTTATTGTGCCAAAAAGTTTAAAGAGGTTTTTGAAATGTGATGTTTTTTCTAAGCTGGCTTTATTTCTTCCATGCACTTCTTTCCTGTTAGTCTTCAAACAGATGAGTTATCTGACAAATGCAACATGGTCTTGCATTAACAATAATTATGATCTTTACTCTGGTGCTGTTAAAAAAAAAAGGGAACATAATTTTTCAGCTACAAATTAGAGATTCTACAGATGTTAACTTGAGGAAAGATGTGCCAGGAAGAAAATCAGGTTCAGCAAGAGACAGGCTGAGAGCTGTGTGTATGTGGGCAATATAGCAAGTTGGAGACAGCCTGAGTTGAAGTCTAAGGCTTCAAGACAAAACTTGTAAGTCTGCCAAAAACCTTGAGAGAAAGCAGGTTCAGAACCAAGGATTAAACCACAGTCAGGTGGAACCATTGGTAGTATACAGGAGAACAGTGTCTCTTGTAATGGTAAAAAATCCCCAATGCAAACAAAACCTAAAACCTTCCCTAACACAGTCTACAGTTCTTGTTTCTTTCTCTGTACCTGGAATTAATATAGTCAGAGAGCAGGACACATTCATAGTTCAGTAGGAGAGGCTAGAGAAGAAAAGAGAAGGCTAAAAAGGGACAGTGGTCTAATTCCTGTCTTCTGTAGCTAAAGGAGATGTTAGAGATACAAAATAGCCAAACTCTCCTCAAGAGAGCAGTGAAAGGGCAAGAAACAACAGGCACAACTTGCAACAAAGGAAATTCTATCTATGCTTTTGAAAAGATTCTCCTCTTGCCCCAAAGATGGTTCATGGTGGCACGAGTCAAGAGAGGCTGGGGAATCTCCATCCTTGGACGTGCTCAGGGCTCACCTAGCACCCTGATCCTGAGCACCCTGATCTAGCCTTGTTAGGCCAGCTCTGAGCAGACAGTTGGAGAAGAGATACCTTCCAGACTAAAACTTGCTGTGAGTCTATGACAACATTGTAATATGGGAACAAACTGAAAGTTACCGTAGCTTTTGTAGCCCTAGCTGGGTTCCTCTTAATGATTCACACCAAATTGCTGTATGTGATTTCCATTACCTGGCAGTCATGTAATCTTTAGCTGAACTTAGTCCAGGATATAGCTTGCAACTTCACATGGTGCCCATAGCATATAACTTCTTGGTGTTATTGCTGGTGAACACCACCCTGTGTGAGGAGCCCTCAGAATGGATTTGGAAAGCCAATTCAGCCCTTGACAGGTCAAAGGTGCCCAGTCTACTTTTTCTGAGTGCACTGTGGTACTCTTTGTTTGTCTGTTTGTTTTGGTCTACCTGGCTACTCCTATGCTGCTACACAGCACCAGCACCCTGACACAGTGCTGGGTCCTGGGAGATGCCATATGCCACAGGCTGTTCTCAGCAGTTGCTATAGGTTGCTCTATCTTGTTGTGTTCTTCAACACTGTCCTATCAGGCTTTGTGCCTTCAAACCAATCTAATAACTTCTTGCTATACTGCAGGCCATGTTGCATGTACCTTCAGTTTCAAGGTGTTAATTTCTGTGCTGGTGGGCTATAACACAACCCTCCCATTATGCCAGACAGTTTGAACTGAACCCCATTCCTGTTCTGGACATGATTGTCTTAAGGTCACAGGGGGCACTAATAGGGCCCAGAAATTACTTAGGACAAACCTGTGAATCAAGAAGTATTGTTCTGGGTCAGGGAATGATCTAAGACACTTTTTGCTTGGTTATACAGGGACAACCTTGAGACACCTTTTGGTTGAGGCTGTATCAAACACTCGCTCAGGTAAACAGGAATTTGTTGCCTTCTGGCCTTAGAATTCATCCTGGCCACTCAAATTCCCACCATAACACAGGACCACCCTTTCTCAAAACTCTCATGGGAGACCTGACAGGATACTTTGGGAGCACATGATAGTAGAAAGTGCCAAATAACAGAGGCTTTAAACACTGGTGTATTAAATACCACCTTTGGTAAAAACTATCTGCTCATCTTTCACCATTCTCAGGCACTTCAGGGCCAAATGCTGGAGAAAGAGTGGAAGAGCACTTTCTACCTTTCAACAGCTCTATGTCTTCCAAAACTGTTTCAGGAGAGATTCTACCTTTCATACCTTCCATTTCCCTTTAGTATCATGATTGTTTTCATCAGGACAGCACAATCTTTACTAGGTAATGTTACCCGTGAACCTACCTGGAGTGACAGGACCTTCAGCATCTGTCCACACTTTGTTCTGGACATGCACGTGCATTGTGCACACAGATTCACAGGGCAGGTTTTTTGAGGCTCTCTCTGGCACACATGCATCCTGAGATTCCCTACCAAAGTAAAAAAGATGGAACAGAATATGCACCCTGTAGAGGATTTTCCACTAGGCATTTCTCCTATAGTGGCAGAAATCTGCATGTTTCAATGAAAGATTAGATGTTGCCTTCTCCACATGTCTTGAAGAGGTATTCCAGATGTATGCCTGTCTTGTGCCAGGTCTTGTCTTTTGAATATTTTCAAGCCATCCAGAAGGGAGAAATAAGATAAATACAGCTGTAACTCTGAGACTGGTGACAGAGCTAGGTGACATCATGTGGCTGTACCTGCTGATTTTGTTACTCACTCTGCTTTCTTTCCTTCTTTCTTCTGTTTGTCTGTCTCTCTTTGTCTCTTTCACCAGTAGCAGCCATATTATTACACAGATGTCCTGACTGTGGGTTGTGCTGTGGGGGTCGGCTGCTGCTTTGGGACACCACTTGGAGGCAAGTGGCTGTTCTGTTTCCTTTTTCTCAGGTACCTAAATCCTCTCCTGCCTAGTTCTCTTCTCTCTCCCTTTCCTGCACTGTGTTTTTGATCTGTCATCTACTTTTACCAAGGAAGCTTACATTTAGCATTACCAACTTCCCCAGCAACTCTGGGGAACTCATGGCTTTTTTTCCACAGGTTGTCAGCCTTCTGGAGGCAAGAGGGGAAGGCTCTCTAGAACAGTGGTCTCCAAATTGGGATGTGCATACCCGAGGAAGAAAGGAAGGAAAATGAAGCTTTACTAATATTTAGTATACATATTGGCAGTATACGTAGTGCCCTCAATGTGTATGTCAGATGGCCACTTGTCACATACAGTGCATGGAGAGTCCTGGGTGTAGAGTTGTTCACAACACAGAGGGTTGACCATGGTGCCCTCACTCATTTGCAATGATATTGCAGTAAGTGTGTGCCCACTTCAGTGGATTTATTTATTATTCTACCTAGCATTAATTAAACTGACCCTTACAAAATGGACAAGTGGCTTAAAATGATTCCTGCAAAGAGACTGCGGGTTGAACATAATACTAATACTGTGAGCACAGATAAATGACAAAAAATGGCAGAGCTGACGCTTCTCTTACTACAGCCTACTACAGGCTCTTAATCAGCCACTCTACGAGGTACAAACAATGACCAGATAATCAGGTGTGTGTAAGTGTACACTTGTAAGTCGATATTGTGCTTGGAGCTAGTGATGGTATGAAGCCATCAGAATTAGCAAGACATTTAAAAGCTGAGCATCCAGAACAAACCTTTGCAGTTTTCTTAGTGGCGTCTCAAGCCATGTGATATCCAATCCAGTACTTTTCAAAATGTCACTGAACTTCATGATAAATGTTTAGAAGCTTCCTTTGAGGTTTTTTGCTTCATAGCAAAAGACAGAAATCCACATACCACTGGGACAATGCTTGTTCTTCGTGCCACGGTAAAAAAGTCTGAACCAGCACATAGAGAGAAGTACAGCAGCAAACTAAACTGCAGACAGCATTGTCAGCAAACACTGTTGTAAGACGCATAGAAAGCATCGCTGAAGGTTTGAAGAATGAAGCATCGGTACAAATTACACAGTGTGAGAGGCTTACTATGAAGCTGGATGAAAGGACAAATGTTTCTAACATGTCTCAGCTTATGGTATTTGCTAGATTTTGTTCTGATAGTAAAATACATGAACTGTTCTCTGTGAGCCATTAAAGAAAGCTCTACCAGAGAATCTATGTTCTCACCAGTAAATTACTTCTTTAATAAATTTTTTTTAATGAAAAAGCTGTGCAAGTGTAATGACTGGTGGAGCAGCTGCTTTGACTGGCATAAGAAAAGGATTGTGTAGTAAAGTTACATAGCGAGCACCACATGTGAAATTCATTCACAGCATTGTTCATTGGCAAGCTATTGCATTAAAGAAATCAGAGCCAGATATGCACAAGTGCTACAGGATGTCATTGATGTGGTTAATTTCCTAAAAACAAGACCTTGAAACAGTACAATCTTTACAATACTTGGAAATGAGACAGGGAACGACTGTGAAAATCCTTTGTAACATACAGACATTTGCTGGTTATCTCATGGGCTTTTAAAAGAGCTGTTGAATTTAAAGACCAGGTACACATTTTTCTTTTACAAAAAGACAAGTGTTCTGAATTTGCTGATCTTTTCTGTGATGACAAGTGCTTCTGTCAGTAGTATGCTACCGACCAGCTATTTTTAAAGACTGTATGCTTCATGTATATATGCTTGGATGCTGGAGAGGGACTCTTCATCAGGGACTGTAGTGATAGGACAAGAGGTTCAAACTGAAACAGGGGAAGTTCAGGTTGGATATAAGGAAGAAGTTCTTTACTGTGAGGGTGGTGAGGCGCTGGCACAGGGTGCCCAGAGAAGTGGTGAATGCTCCATCCCTGGCAGTGTTCAAGGCCAGGTTGGACAGAGCCTTGGGCAACATGGTCTGGCGCGAGGTGTCCCTGCCCATGGCTGGGGATTGGAACTGGATGATCTTAAGGTCCTTTCCAACCCTAACCATTTTGTGATTCTACCCCTTCAAGGTGAAAGCGATATTGTAACAGTGGGTGAGAAAGTAACTGCTTTTCAAAATAAACTTTATGAATTTGTTGCCAAACAAATTGAGAGTTTCAGTGAGTTTTGAACCCATTTGTTAAAGATGTAAAACTTTAACACCTCCTGATCAGTTTGCAAGAACAACTGACATTAGGGAAGATGGAAATTTACTATCCAAATTTCAACAGCAATCTTTGTGTAACTGGTGGATGGAATTGAAAAAATGGTGTCATGATTAAGTCAGCACAGCCATTTCTTTCTTTCTTTTCATGCTGTGAGAAATGTGTTTGTCAGCTACAACAGCCATCAAGACAAAGTATCAAATTAAACAGAAAATAGAAACAGACCTTTGAATTGCTGTGTTACAAAGTGTTAAACCAAGATTTTCAAAACTAAAGAATATTTTTAGTGATAACAAAAGTTTTTTTGTTCCATTAATAAATAAAACAATTTAAAAATAAATCATCTTTATCTCATCCTTTTTTCTATTTCTATTTTTGTATATGTTTTATATTTTACATAATATATTAGTACAATAGTACATTAATATAATATTTAAATAAATATACATATACTGGGGAGTACGTACTCAAAAATCTTTTACTGGTAGGAGTGGGTCAGCAAAGAAGTGTGGAGACCACTGCTCTAGAGGACTATTTAGAAGCCTTTCTCATGCTTCTAATATTACACTTCTGATTTTAACTTTGCTCCTTTTCCGACTCTTTTTAGGGGTCCTTTTCAGCATTGAGGTCACTTCCACTTACTTTGCCGTGCGCAATTATTGGAGAGGTTTCTTTGCAGCTACCTTTAGTGCCTTCATTTTCCGAGTCCTTGCTGTTTGGAACAAGGATGCAGGTAAGCTAAGAGCCATTCCTGTTCTCTCTGTATAAAAGTCGCTCTATTAATGTATTATTGTCCATCTCCTCAAAACCACAACCTTGTATAATGTTTGAAACTTCTGACATGTGACTTTCAGCACTACAGAAGGAAAGAGAAGGGAACGTATCTTACGTTACCAATTGTATAACCCAACCTATTCCTGTGTGTGTTGGGGATATGACTGAAATATGACTGAATATGAGTCCCCAGCAAGTAAAAGAGCCTCTGAGGAGGGATTTTTGCTTCTATTCAGTGTAATGTCAAGGGTGAGGTAGTCCACCACAGAGGATGAAATGCACAGTACAGTGTATGCTGCTGCAATCTGCTGGAAATGCCAAGATCTGCTGTGGTCATCTCTCAACTAGAAGCATAAAAACCAGTAGTCTAGCAAGTGGAGGTGATGAAGTGATTAACATGGTATAGGATTGGTAGGGTCTGACTGAAAAAATAACCATCTCAAGTAACTGGAAAGTGTGAGTGCAACATTTGTACAGACAGAAATAGCAACGGACAAGCTTGTTCAGAAGAGCATTTCAGATACTGTGTCAGTGGAGTTCCAGCTGATGCAGCAGGCTGCCATTTCTTTGTAAAATCCTTGCTTATAATTTCTTTATGTTTTAATACTACATTTGTATGTATTTTATTGATCTGAGCTCCATCTGGGCAGTTCTCTTACTTAAAACTGCTCTTTGGTCTCTTAACCCCACAGGGTTGGATTTTTTTTGTGCTAAAATATTATTTGGTTTGAATATTCTCTTGAATATAGAAAGCGACTACACTTTTTACTTGAATGTACTAAGTGACTACATCTTTGTGAAACACTGCCTGATATTAAGGGGTATTCAAGCATCAGGTCTGTCACAAAAAACACATCTTCCTGTTCTTTCCAGAAGAAAATCTAAGAAATTTGAAGGCAGATGACAGGAAATAATCTTCTGTCCTTCACTTTATCTACTCTAGCTCCCTTGCTGATTTCCCAAATCATTAGAAATTAGCTTAATCCTGAAACATCTTAATTACTGTCCCTTCTTCAAAATCCTCCAGATAGCTTTAATACTCACATTAATGGTTCCTTACGTTCTGCTTCATTGACTGTCTGGGTTAAAAACTTCCATGATCCTATAACCTATGTAAAATAATTCATTTTCATAGTTTCGAATCTTCTTCGTCTCTGTTGCCAGTCCTTTTGTCCTTGTATTAAGGAACTAGACACTTTCGTCTAGCTAGCTCTTCATTATTTTATGATCTTTTATCATGCCTGCTCTCACTTATCTTTCATGCCTTTTCTTGCTCATTTTCTTCTGAAAGTTACAAGCCCAGTCTTTGCAGTCTTCGTTTATGTGAGGGTTTTTCTTAGGCCCCCTCTCCGATGTCTTTGCAATCTCTTATGTCTTGTTTACACCTAGAAGTTATGCACTTGGTAGATAATTGGATGTCTTTGTGCTGGTTTCCTGTATGGCTACTATTATCATCCAGTAAGAAAGCCTTTGTAGGTAGGTTACTGTGCTTGGAAGTGGAGAACTGTGTGCATCTACCTGTAATGTCCATGTGGAACATGAAAACTATTGCAAATTCATATCTAATATGTGATCTAACTCTTCTGCGTAGGCAAGCATTTGCCATCTTGTTCCAGAACATTTTGGAAATAAAATGATCACAGTTTCAAGCAGGTGTGGCTATTGCATGGTCTGTTGGAAGGCATTACAATACTGCAATGCAATACTCTTCACATGATGGTACAATTTTTATGCAGCTTTTGCACATTTCTAGCAGCTGCAGTTAGGAAAAAGCTAGAAAGACAATTTTCTTAGAGCTGTCTACGCTGATCCAACTCTCTTTCTTGATACGCTACTGTTAAATTAGATTCCTTTTTAATGTATCAGTAATCTTCCCACACTGTACTACTTTGCATTCATCAACACAGAAAGTTGCCTTTCTTACACAGTCATCTCTGCTTCCAATTAGGGTAAATGGGCTCAGGATCACATGCAGATTTTGCTGCCTTCCCCAGAAAATTCTGAACCATAGAATCATAGAAAGATTTAGTTTGGAAGAGACCCCTGGAGCTTTCTACTCTGAACTCCTGCTTACAACACGGACAACTTTCCCCTGTGTCTGTGGACGTCTGTTCCAGTGCTGAACCATCTCACCAAAAAGAAGCATTTGCTCATTATATGTAAACAAAATTCCTGTGTTGGAAGTTGTGCCCATTGCCTCTTTTTATTTCCCCATGTCTTTACAACTTCCCCATGAGGTAGGGGAGACTGCTGTTAGAACCCCCTTGAGGCTTACTACTGGACTGTCTTCAGTTTTATAACTTTCATTTGTATTGGGTTTTCTAGATGTGGCTTCACCAGTGCCATAACCACTCCCCTCAACCGGCTGGTCTGACTTCAGCTGATGTGGCTCAGTGTGTGGTTGGCTTTCATTGCCACAAGGGCACGTATTATGCATTGTATCCACCACGATCCACTGGCATGATAGCAGAGCTTTTCCTGTTCACCAGGCTGTACTGGTACACCTGCCATTCCAGGTGCAGGACTAAATATTGGTCTTTGTCAAATTTATGATGTTCCTCCTGGTCATCTCCTCCAGTTTGTAGAGACCACTCTGAGCAAAGCCCTTCAAGTGAAAACCACCCCCTTCTTTCCCTCCTCGGTTCGGTATGGTCACTGATGAGTGAGTTCGATGTAGGACATTGGTGAAGGTGTTAAACAGAATCAGCTTCAAGACTGACCTCCGAAGAAATGCATTCAACACGTGGGCCCGAAAACAGCAATTAGAAACTCCTGATACATGTGCACTATGACACGTATCCTTACATGTCTGACATGATAAACTCATGTTTTTTTCTCTCTCTGGGCTAGCTTCTGATCCATTATAATGTTTTCCCTTTTGGTGTTTGATCAGTAGACCTCTACGTGATGTTCCACAGCCTCATGTGGGACCTTTTAATAACCTAAATAGGTACAGTCCCCCTTAATCTGGTTTTACTGTTTTGTTTTTAAAAAATCCACTGACTGTTCCCCTTTGCTCTGGTTATCTTCACCACCTTGTGGCAAAACTCTTTGAGCTCTGCTCTACTTCATAATGCACTGCCATTTAGTGGCTTGGACTGTCTGTTTCCTAAAATTAAATTGAGATGATCCCTTTCTTGGGCTGACTTCACAAAAAGAAGACATCCTGCTTTTCACCATCTCCTTCTGTGACTGCTCTTCTACCCATCCCTTGTACCACCTCTGTGTTTGTTGGACCCTCCATTCAGCTCACTTCCCTGGCAGAGGACTAATCCAGGAAAAGAGCAGACAGGTTTTCTGGTGGGTTTTAAAGAGGTGAAAGAACTCAGTGAAGGCTTTGACACGTGTCCGAGTGGGCCCAGCGGAGGGGAGAACAACACAGAAGGAAAGAAGCAGTGTGAAGAGGCAGGAAGTGAGATCTTCCCATTTTGGATAGTAGCATTCAGTTAGACAGCTAGCTATCTTAGGTGATGTAACCCACAGAGATGTGATTAAATCATTGCTCTAAACCTAGTCCTGTCTGACCAATTAACAAGTAATTAACACCTGCTGTAATTGTCATAGAATGCTAGATTTTCACTGCTTCTTTTCTTTCCTCATTGTGCAGATATTTCCTTCATCCAGGGCAAGGTGGAATTTATATCCATCCTCATTTCCACTCTGCACTAGATTGCACATTTGTTCTTTACCTCTTGGCATACAGATATTTACTGTTTCTACACAACTAGGTACCTCCAGGATGGTTTTCAAGATCTGAGTCATTTTAGCAGTGTAACACTACCAGCAGAAGTGAGCTGGAGAAGATGGGTCTTAGCTGATATTTTCCATCTCTGATTCCTAAGACTTTCATTCTTTTAGTACCAGTCAAATATTTTGCAGATATAACTTCAGAGGGTTTTTTTCTAGAAAGCAATCGCAACTGAGTGACACAGCTTCTCCAGATACACAAGCACTGCCTGCCTTGGCAAAGAGAGCTTTCAGAGTCAGTGAATATAGTGGGAAGAGGTTTTATTTTCTGGGATTGTATCTAAAAAATACATATGCATTGCCCGAAAGTAAACCCATTCCATGTAGAGTGCTAGGGTTGCAAGTGCTCAAAACCAGGCACTACTAAAATCAGAACAGTCTGCCAATCTGTAAATTGTATAGAATTGTGGTCATGAAACCACACAGGAGCATGTACAAACTAGTTCCTTTGTCCCTCCCCTTAGCTTTTATGCCATTTAACTTCTCACTTCATTATTCCCTTTCCTTCTTTACCTCTTTATTTCTCTCACAGATACCATCACAGCCCTCTTCAGAACAAACTTTCGCACGGATTTCCCCTTTGATCTGCAAGAGCTGCCAGCATTTGCTGTAATAGGGTAAGTGCCCAGGAATCTGTCTCCTTGCCCTATAAAGGTTATCATGTGAGCTGTGTGGAAATTCTTTTGCAAAACAGTTACATACATCTCTTTCAGACAGTTTGATTGTCACAAATAAGGCCTCTGCTGATGGGGATTCCTCCTTCAAAAATGGTGCCTATGTGGCACAATGGGTAGGGAAGGAAATGTGGGTATTGTCAAGTTGTTTGTTATTTCCTTTCCATGCATCTTTTTCAGAAATTAAGTTCTGGAAAAAAAAGTAAGTCTAACTTGGTCTAGGTTCTGGGTATAGATTTCCTGAATGGCCTTTTAAATGTTTTGATGGCATCCCCAAATGAACTGACCAAACAGGTGTGGTCTTTTCACTTGTCAAAAACAGGACAGAAGATTTAACCAGGAAGTTTCCCTTTTACAAGGTCAGAATGGTTTTCCTTTTCTAGAGAGGTTGGAACACTCAACATGGTGGCAAGGGTGGCTGAACCATAGTAGGATTCAATGAGAACAACGATTAATTTGAATGTCAGTTTTTTGTTATTTATGGAGATATCTGAGTTGGTTTCATTTGTGGAGGAAATTTGGCGAAATGAAAGAATGAACTTAAGAAAAATGAGAAGAGATTTGGGAAATACTAGAGAAAAACTGAATTTGGAATTGCTGTGAGGAAAAGTCACCAAGAAATTAGAGCTTGAGAGAGGCTCTAGGGAAATCACTGCAGAGCAGTAGTGAAGGGAATGGGCTGTAGAACAAATACCTGTGCTGGTGTTGTGAACACATTCAGTTGCAAGACCTGGATCCAAGATCAGAAACGTATTAGTGGTTCTCCACCTTCTTTAATGCCCTCATATTCCTTTACAATTGCAATTCTTAAATGATCAAGCAGGATTTTTTTCAACATGCATCTTTTTAAGTAAACTAAATTAATCTTTGAATGAGATTTGGCAAAAGCCTACATAACATGTAAGAAAGGAGAATTCTATTAATTTTACAAATTAATAGAATGAAAATGTTATCTATTTATCCTCAGTATTCTGCGGTCTTGCAGGTCTCATTAACATACACAGCATTGCAACTGTACCTTTTTTGACTTTATTAGGATCAGGAACACAGGCCTAAGTAATTAGGATTGTAGAGATGACATACTTTGTTGTAGGCACAAGAATTGCTACTACTTTTAGTCTTTGATGTAGGTGTATAATTCTGATGAATCAGAGTTAAACTCCCTCATTTTTATTATTTCCTGTTCCAACCTGATGTCTGAGTTCCAAAACCACTGGTCTTTGCCCAGTTGCTCTTTGTCAGTCCCCACTGAAACCTCTCAGTCCTTTTCTTATAGATTATTCCTATAGATTATGTTACAGATTTTTATAGATGAGATTCCCCCCCCCCAGTAAAAAGAAAATTTATGTGGTAAAACGGCAGTGTGTGTGACAGAGGTCCAAAATAATCTCTCCCTTTTCATCCATGAGTCAAAGTCTTCAAATGAGTTGATGTCGGAGGTGACTTCTACAAGACTTCATAAACAGCAGAAGATGAAAAACACTTAAACTTGTTCTCTTGGTTTGTGTATTATCTGTGGCTTGGTGTGATTTTATTTCATTTTCTCCACTTTAGGATATGTTCTGGATTCCTTGGAGCATTTTTTGTTTATCTCAATCGCCAAGTGGTCCTATGCATCCGGCGTCATACGGCTCTGAGCCAGTTTCTCACCAAATAGTGAGTGCCTTTGAAGATACTCTCTTTAGGGACCAGATTTTTATACTCTACTGGTATTGGACAGTAACAAATACTTCCTGAAAGCTAGTAGAACAATTTCAAGTGTAAGATACTGAAAATATGAGAAACTGAAATTATATGAGACTTGGATATCTGCAAACATCAGGAGAATGTGTTCTGTACTGGATTTTCTTTTGATCAGCCCCAGTTGTTTTAAATACCTTCTTGATTTAGAAGGGAGACTTTGTAATATTCATTAAGAGGACAAGGGAAACTATTCATTGGACAGAAAATGTTTTTAATTAGAAAATCAATGCTTGTGCTCTTTAAGATTATGCTGCTCCTGGTTTGGATTATTTTCAAGAATCTGTAAAAAAAATCAACATTTCTATTTTCAGAAAATTAAATACAACTGAAATCTAAGTCTTTAAAATCTTAATTGTTTTTTTAATCCAGATGTAGGCAAAAAGGTAAAAATGTGCTGCAGCATTGCAGTTACTGTATATTTACAAGCCAACAGCTGAAACTGGTAATAATCAAATGGTGTGAATTGCAGCATGGAAGAGAAATAGAAAACAACATAAAAATCTTAGCAATAAAGGTTTTCCAGGTCAATTGAAGATACTTTTTTTCCCTCTCTAATTAAGTTATAACTTCCAAACTTATAACCTGAACAACAAAAGGTGTCGAACTGTAAATGTCTTCAGTTTCTTTACAGAAGAAAGCTGATGCTATGAGAATTTTTTAAGATGAGAGGTGTGCTGGACCTACATTTCTTAGCAAGTTGCAGATTTGAGCAGAAGAAAACCACTAGTTAAGAAGTTCAGTCTAACTCAGTGTATTATGTGGAAGAAAACTTGTCTTTCTTCATTATAATAGTATTACCCACAAGCATTAGCAAAGCCATCAAAGTTAATAAAGAAGTGGAGCAAAGCCTGAAAAAAACTTTTTACTAACTTCTCAGAATTTTGTAGGTATTAGGCAAAAAGAAATTAAAGGTTATATTTTGTCTTCCTGAATATTACAGCATCTCAGACAGAACTTCCTGTAGGGAACACAGTAATTTGTCAGGGGAGACCTGACAGGATTAGTCCAGCGCATGGAGGCAGCTTAAACTTATGTTGTCCTAGTGGCCATGAAATTTAGGTGTACCCAGAAACCCATCCTGGGATTGGACACAGCAGTAGGAAGGCATAGGTGGCTTCAGCCTGCTGTTCAGCTCTGCCCCACTGGCCCAGCACAGCTAGACCCACTGGCCACCAAGGGCACCTTCCCCAAAATTATGATGGTCAGCAATTCAATGGAAAGAAAAGCAGTTTTTCTCGTGAGAATTAATGCAATGGGGAATGCATGCAGAAACCTATCACAAAAAACTATGTTTAACTACATTAGGACATCCCCGTTCTGCATGGGGATGAAGAAGCAAGATTTGAATAATCAGGACAAATGGAGGAGGTGCTGACTTTTGACAGTAGGTCCATACATCACTGTAAATACACATCCCCTCTCCATAACCCATGTATTCATGTTTGTGCATTTTGTACATCCCCCTCTCGCTCCATCCCTCCCATTACACTAATTATAATGGGGAAAATGGCTTTGCTGGTAGTTGAACTCTCTATGAATGATGATCAGTGGAGCAGGGCATTAAATTGCCAGTAACAGAACTCCAAAGCATTTGATACATATGTGGCAGAGAGCTTTCACAGAAGCAGAATTTAAAGTCCTGGAGTGATAGTGCTTTAAGAAAAGAATATGAGGTCATATTATAATAAACGTTTCGTTCTTTTCAGCCGCCTCATATACCCTGGGGTTATAACCTTCCTTATAGCAACTATGACCTTCCCTCCCGGATTTGGACAATTCATGGCAGGAGAGGTGAGAGTGGGTTGTGTATGTGAAATTCTGTGCAATTTTGTGGAACAGTCTCCCCTTATCCTGTGTCCCAACAACTTTATGTCATGGAAAAAGGAAGAAAGATATGGGAGGAGTTTGGGTTGAGGAGGGACTATATTCTGAGAGTCATGATCTCTGCTATCTCCTTCATATAAAACTAGAAGAAGGTCCATTTTCCTGAGAGAGTAATAAGGAAGATGTTACCCCGTGTGTAAAAGTAGTTATGCTTTTCACCAGTTCAGGTAAAGTACTGCTCTTGTCCAGATTAAAAAATGTGAATTAAGTCTTATAATCATGAATTACCAAAGTAAAAATCTCCACTTTCTTGGAACAGAGGTAGATCTCATCTGATCTCATGGCTCATGCCTGGTTTTTTGCTGTTTAGTTGATGCCACGGGAAGCCATCAGCTCTCTCTTTGATAACTATACCTGGGCAACATACACAGGGGACCCTCAGATCCTGGGGAAGTCTGCTGCCTGGATCCATCCTAAAGTCAGTGTCTTCATCATCATCTTCCTCTTCTTCCTCATAAAGGTAGGAAACCCAGCTGACCATAATCCTTCTCCACTCAGAGTGAATGTTCTTGATTAGTTGTGCAGTAGTTTTGAACTGCCAGTGAGGAGTTGCTGGGTACTGAATGGAGCACTACAACTGCAGTGGCTTCTTATATCTTTTGATGTGATGTTTGCCCACCTTAAATTAGATTGCCAGAATTATTAGGGAATAGTTTCCTGGCCTTACTAGTGACCTCCTTCACTGCTCCCTAGGTCATCTTCCTCATGCATCCTGTTGAGTGACCTTTGGTACCCACTGCAGTTGACAGGGACAATTCCATCAGGAAAAGATTTCTCAGGTTCCACAAAAATAAACAACTGAGTAAAAAGCTCTCAGATATTTTATGTTTGGTCTAAATAAAGTCTGATACAGCCTACCTGATATTCCCAGCTCTAGATAGAAGACAGAGAAGAACATGCAGTGTTCAAGGCCAGATTGGAAAGAGCCTTGGGCGACATAGTTTAGTGTGTGGTGTCCCTGCTCATGGCAGGGGGGTTGGAACTAGATGATCTTAAGGTCCTTTCCAACCCTAACTATTCTATGATTCTATGCAAGGACAATCTATAGTTGTGTTAGGCTCAAGGATTTGTTAGCAGTACTGTAACTTGGTGGACAAATGCAGCTGAAAACAGTTTTGCTCGCTTCTTAGAAAGCAACAGCAGGTTAGATGTTCTGAGCTGACATGGTCTGTGGAAGTTGCAAATGTTCAGCCTCTGAAAAGATTAGCTGCGTAACTTACACATGACAGCACAAAGAGAAGAGATTTGAAAGAAGAAAACATTATACTCCAGTGTTCAAAATACAAGTAGCAAGAAAGACCTTTCTTTATCATAAAATAGTAAAAATATCATAGAAATGGTGATTTTTGTTGTTGCAAAGGAGCAAATCAGCTGAGGCCACCTTGGCACTATCAGTTGACATTTTGGCAGATCAGGAATGGACACCAGTGGTTGATTGACACAGCTGATTCCACCTAAAGTAAAAAAACTGTACTGAATTTCTGACAGGCAGTGAAGGAGTTCTGCTTCTGTGATAATTCTAATTGTATGTACCAAGCAGATAAAGTCTCATTTACTTAAATGAAAGAGGGATGGACTACATGGTATATCTATCCTGCGTCCATCTGTTCTGCTTTGGAAGGGCTATATCCTCAGACACTAGATTTATTGGCCTTGTCCCATTAAGTAAAACCTTTCTCAGCTCACTAGACAACTGCTCCATTCTGTATATATTCAGAGCTGGGATAGATCATATAAAAAAGAAACTGCTGTTTCGACTCTGGGCAAAGACTTGGCCCGATTCTCCAGTGCACTATAGTTCTGGTTCTCAGCTGTATGTATGGCTTGGGTTTGGTACTGTAAAGACAGAGCTTAGTTAGCAGTACTCTACTTCTGCAGCTTGCTGGCCTCTGCAGCAAGCCAGGAACTTCTCCTTTGGAATATTCAAATAGCTTGTGGAAGGAAGAGCAACAGCCAGCATCAAGTTGATGGTCCAATGCATCCTCACAGCATGTTCCCCTACCCTGGGCTGAGAAATACTGTTTTCTTGGCTCTTTATTACCTTTGTAGAGTGCATTCCTAAATGGTAGGCTATATCTTGCCTTCATTTTCCATTTCCAATGGGAGTTACAGTGGAAAAGTTACCTTGAGTAGATTTTCTCACCAAACTAACCTTCTACAGATGAGTATCTCATCTGTCTACAGCTGCAACAATGTCTAGAGAGGCATCACTGTCTCAAAGGTGGACCTCAAAAAGGAAGGATTTGTCCACCTTGAGGAGAATGTTTCTGAAATGCCTGAAAGTATTGCTGTGCTGGACCGTGGTTGTCTCTCTCCTGTCGATGATACTGCTGCAGCAAGTGACATCTTGCCAGTACAATTACTAGTACAAGCTTTCAAAACAGCAGCATTCTCTGTGTTTCCCTCAACTGTGGAACTCTCTTGTCATACTGCCTGAGAAAGTCTGAGCATATTGGCCTTTGAGGTTTTTCTAGTATTAGGCTGTGGCCTCCAGAAGAAGTCTATATGAGCTGGGCTAAGTCGTCATTTGACTTGGTCTTAGCAGTACCAATATGGATTTCATCATTTTGCCCAACATAGTGATAGGACAAGAGGCAATGGACACAAGCTAGAATAAAGGAAACTTACGACAGTTGGACTTCAGGAAAAAATTCTCTGAGTGTAGGTCAGTAGTAGCAAAAATGCCCAGAAAATCTGGGAAATCACCCTTCAAGATGTTCAGAAGTCACCTGGATAAGGCCCTGAGAAACCTTATCTAACTTAGGAATTTGCCCTTCTGGGAGCAGGGATTTGGGGGAGAGACCTCCAGAGTTCCTTTCACACTGAAATCATTCTGAGTCTGTGAAATTTTGACAGCTTTGCTCTATGAAAAGCTAAGCTGTTTGGAGCAGTGGGAAATTCCACTTTCTGAGGTCCAAGGCCAAAGACTTCTGTCATTCATCCATCTCATTGGTGATTCAGCTTCCCTACCACCACAGCAGTCAACCAGAGGTCCTCTGCATCAGTGCTGGTGTGTTGTCAGAGTTCCTCCAGCTCCCCTTCATACCCCTCAGCCCCTTTACCCTTCGCTTTCCGTCTGAACCACTGGATCCCTCAGAACATCTCCTCATGGATTCACAGACCGGGCAGTAGAGTGGGGCTGCAGAAAATGCTATTGCTGCTCAGTAACAACTGCACCCTCTGCCTCTGTTCCAGTTCTTGATGGCTGTCATTGCTACCACGATGCCAATCCCCTGTGGAGGCTTCATGCCTGTTTTTGTCCTAGGTGAGTTTCAATTTTGTGTTGCTGCATATAGTTCTGACAGGTGGAGAGGATGAGACATTGCAAATGTACCCAGGCAGGTTTCTTCTAGTGGATGAGGGCTGATCACTTGATTTCTATGACAAGCTCAGTTAATAGTGCATATACCAACCGCTGAGTCTCTGCTTTTGTAATTTTCCCGCCACCCAAATCCAAATGTTAAGGAGAAATCCCTGTCTTTTACATGAGGAAAGCCACATTGTGGGGAGGCATGCTGAGCCAGCGCCTTCTAATTTCTCTGCCTCTTCACCTACAGAGAAACTTTCAACCTACTCTTAGTAGTAGTTGCACCTTTCACCCCTGAAGACCAAGCAGAAGAGAGAACCTCAAAACTAGTACCTGCAGTGTAATCCACCACTTAATCATTTCTTCTGACTGAAATATGGTAACATGGAGTCTATTGGGTTTTAACTTGTTTTAATTCCAAGATCAAAAAATGAGAAGAATATGATGCTAAAGTTAAGGAAGAGAGGCTATATTAGGCTAAAGAATGCAAGCTCATGAAGTTCAGCACTAAGTACTCACGGTTCTTAAATGAAATGCTGTGTGCGATGGACCTCTGGGTTCTGGCAGGCAGCAACTGAGCATGGGTCAGTAGCATATCCTTGCAGTGATGAAGGCTAACACAAACAAGGCTGTATTAAGAAGACCCTAGCCACCTAGCCAACAAAGCAAAGAAATTGGTTATTCCCTTGCGTTCAGCATTTTGGACATGGTTCCAGAATATTGTGCCATTTTGTGTCCATCAATACAAGAAATCTTGACAAAGTGCAATGACTCTAGTGGAGGCCACTGAGATTGTTGGTGCTGGAGCACAAAACAAATGAGATCCCGAGGAAGTTTGGCTTGTTCAGAAGAGAAGGGAAGAGGGGATCTAATGGTGGCCTCCTCATATAAACACACAGTAAAAAATAGGTAAAGGCACAAGTTGCAACAGGGAAAATTCTGATAGGACATAAGACAAAAAGAAATGTTTCCTTGGTTAAGGTGCTCAGAAAGGCTGGAGAACCTCCATCCTTGCAGATCGCTAAAGCCTGTCTGGACAAGGCCCAGGGTGACTAGATCTCGCTTTGAAATCAGCCCTGTTGTAAGCAGGGGTCAGAACAAGACCTTCATAAGTGTTTGGGCATTCACTGAATGAGTATGTGAAGGGCCTCAGCTGTGATCTGGACTGGCATTGTATATATTCTGAAAGAGTTTCCTCCTACCTGGGAGGAAATCACAAATACTGCTGTGCCTGGTGTGCCTGAGTGAAAGAATGAGGGGTCAACTGTATTTACATATCTTAGTACCTTTCTCTCCTCTTGAAGTCTAACTTCTGTATGTTGAGACTCTTTAGATCCCAATGTCATTTTGATTTAAGTTTTGATTTTGTTTCCATTAGAAAACACTCAAGTGATTGCATAGCACAGACTGGGTGTTCTTCAGATGTTAATTCCGTAACGGTCAGTGGTATTTTCCAGGTGCTGCATTTGGGCGTCTTATTGGGGAAATCATGGCATCAGTTTTTCCCAATGGAATCCTCTTTGATGGTATTGTTTATCAGATCTTACCTGGAGGGTATGCAGTCATTGGTGAGTCTCTGTGTCCTTTTTTTAACTTCACCTGGTCCCATCCCCATGACTTTCCTGGTTGACAAGACATGCTGTTTCTGTATGACAGCCGTTGTCTCTCTCTATTCCGTTTCCACCCTACCTGGGAAAGGCGCAGCAGCAATGACAGGAGCGGTGAGCCACACTGTCTCCACTGCTGTGATCTGCTTCGAGCTGACAGGTCAGATCTCTCACATCCTCCCCATGATGGTGGCTGTCATTCTTGCCAACATGGTGGCCCAGAGTCTGCAGCCCAGCCTCTATGATAGCATCATCCAGGTGAAGAAGTTGCCCTACCTGCCAGACCTGGGCTGGAATCACATAAGGTATAGTAGTAAAACAGAGGTGGAGGTGGGGAGTGGCAAAGAAATAGAGAAGAGAATGAGATCATGGGAGAATAAAAGGTCGTGAAAAGGGGATAGTACTACAAAGAAAATAAAAAGGCAGAACATGCCTGCAGCTACTAAAAAAAAGCCAAGTGGTGGAGTAGAATTAGAGTTCGTTCACAGAAATGGAGCACAGGTTTGAACAATTTGCAGTGTTATGAATTTGTATTAAAATTACCACGCTGCACCAAGCTAAAAAGTTAAAAATCAGGTGTCTCATTTCCATTTTGTTCTGATTTCAGTGGGGTTTGGATTTTTTTCTCCGGAAAAATAATTTTATTTGGATATTTTGCTTCAAACAAAATTCAGTTATTCATACACATCTTCCTCTCTTTAATAATTTACATAGGTATGTATATATAAAACATCTATACATAGGTGTATATATATGTGTGTATTTTTATCCTGAGGGGTAATGAAGTGAAATACAACTGCAATGTAAATCCAGTTAATCTGTGTTGATTCTGTTGGAAAGTCCTCTTCGGTTACTCTCACAGAAGGTTATTCTTCTGTATATTCTGTTCTCAACTGTATTGAGAACATGTTTTAAAGAATTGGTCATTTATGTATTTCTTTAAGGAATTTATCTGCTAGACATTTTTAATATGCTAATTATTCCCTTTATTGTCCATCAATTCACAGCAAGTACAATATCTTTGTTGAGGATATTATGGTCCAGGATGTGAAATTTGTCTCTTCCAACTGTAAATACCGAGACTTGCAAACTCTTCTCCAAAGCACCACTGTTAAGACTTTGCCTTTGGTGGACTCACCAGGTAAGCAAGGTGGAGGAACTGGTCCTTCCTGAAGACTGTCTCAGGTTAAAGAGCCATAAAAACTAGCTTTCAACTTACATGTGAAGGAGACAGTGTGACCCACTACATAAAAAATCATCCTAAAAATCTTCCACTGTGGATGATGTATGACAGAAGGCTGTTCAAGCTGGTCAGACAGGTAAGCTGGAGTGTGGGCAGTGAAGCAGATATAGCAGGTAAGGGAGGTGTGTGGGAAGTTTGTGGACTGAACTGTGGCAACAGGGAGGGATCTTTCCTCTGATGTGGTGCTGAGGAGTGGCACAACTCAGGAATGGTGAGCTTCCCACAGCCCCACAGAGTATTAGCAGCAACTAGCAAGGCTGGTCAATGACTCTTGTATAGGTCTAGATAGTACAAGTCCAAGTACTTTGAAGAAGTTGGAGGAAAGGGCAGTGTATGGCAGGGGATGTTGAAAAAAACTTTTAAGTGGCTTAATGGCTTCTCTGCTCTGTGTTATGCAGAGACCATGATCCTGCTGGGGTCTGTAGAGCGATCTGAACTGCAGGCCCTCCTCCAGAGACATATAAGCCCAGAACGGCGACGGCTCCTCCACAGAGAAATGCAGCAGAAGCTGTCTGAAGCACCCTATGATGGGCACAGCAAGGGACCATGGGCAACCCTGCCAAAGCTGAAGCATGAATCTTTTGCTTATGTTGATGAGGATGAGGATACAGATGAGAAGGGAGAGGTGAGGGAAAGAAGTGAAGAGACTACAACACAGAGACTGCTTAAGAAGCAGTAAGGCGTTTGGAGAGGCTGAGAAAGAAATGACACAGGGTGGACTTCATTTTCTTTCCTTTCCATAACAGCTGCCTCGGCCCCCAAGTCCCACTCCCAGTTACCCAGAGGAGCCTAATGGCCCCACAGGTCCTCTTAAACAAATGCCTGAAACTTCAGAGCCACAGCAACTCCCAGGTAACTTCTGGCATGCCTCAGCCACATCCTAGGCAGCTTGTAGAAGCTTTCATGCTGTGTGTACGTGCCTGTGCAAGCTGCTGCTTTCTCAGAGACTGAGAGAAGGAGCTTTCTCTGCTGTTCCCGTATTAAAGGTTCTTTGTTACTGCACTTCAGCATCACCTCAACATATCTGGAAATATGTTTTTGTTTGTGGTCCCTCAGACAGCATGGCAAAAGTAAACTCACTCAGGCTGCTCTCTGTCAGCACTCCCCACTCCATCCTTTGCAATATTATATCCTTGGGCATTTTCTGGAGTCTGTGTGGTGCCTCCTCCACCCTCACAGCTCATTTCTGATTCATATATCATGTACATTTGATGCAGGATGGTGGGGTTTTTTTCCTTTACATGTCTTGAAATATTCAGAGGGTGAGTAAGCACAAGAGGTGTAGCCCAATCTTGAGAATGAATACAGAGGACAGGGCTCTGGCTCTTTGAAGCACATAATGTAGCATGTAGCATACCCTGGTTCCTTAACATTATTCATGTATGACTAAACCTCTAAGGCATAGGAAAATCCACATTATGCTTCCAAGGCAGTAGAGTGGTGGGACAATCACCCACCTTCCTTACCAAAGCAGAAGAAAGAATCACATCAAAACAAGGAGAGTGTGAGACATTTTACGTGAAGCTGGTGCTGGTTGATCCAGGAGTGACAAAAGGAAGCAGAGCAGGAGTTACTTCTGCCATCATTTTTAGTTTGGTTCACAGCTGTCATTGTTTCTGACCAACCTTCCTCCACAGCCTTGTTCACTTCACAACAGCACCAAACCCTATCTCCTCTTCACTCATTCCTGACTGTCCTGCCTGGGAGAATAATCCTGCAGTGTTTTTCATTCCCACCACTGCACTGCTGCCACAACCCACGGGTTCCTTTGTACCTGTCACATTCAGGCTGTTGATATGTTTTGTCTTTGAAGTAATTTCCACATTGTCACCTATCCTTTCCATACTCATTCTCCAAAACACATTCCCTTTGTGGACTGCAGAAACCTCTCATCACAGCAGTTTATCCCTTGTATCCTTGCTGTGTCAGTAGTCTTGCTTCTGTTTGCTTGGTTTGGTTGGTGGGGTTTTTTTCTTCAGGGACACTGGTCTATAAATATTATCTGCAAGGGCTGCTTTGTAATGATTTGTTTCTTCTCCTTGAGGAAAAGATATCACATTGGAATATTTATTCTAGCATGTCCCAGACACCAAATTACAAATTGAATGCTAGATTGTGACTGGCTGAGCTCTGTCATATACCATGTGCTGTGTCCCTTGTATTATTTCCAAACCTGCCTTGGGCAAGGAGTTGGGCATTGGGCTATGTATTTTTGTCTCTTATTTGTTCTCCTCTCTTATCTCTGTGTTTTCCTTCTTCAGGCAATTTCAGGAGTTTGAGGCAACTGATCCAGCAGCTCTTGTGCCATTACAGCCGTCCACGTGAAACAGAGAGTGCCATCCAGGTTAGGGATACAGAGAGCCTAGTAGTACTCTGAGGAGGGAGGAGAATGCAATGGTAGTAGAACCTGCTACTTTGAGCCATTCAGCACTTGGCCAAAGCATGGACACACTTATGGTCCTGAACTCTGACAACATCAGTGGGGAACTCTCTCCAAGGAGAAATGATGTGATTCATGTAAAGGAGTGTGCCTTTTCCTAAAGAGCCATCTGTGCTCAGGTGTACAGGCTACCATCATGACTGAGTGTTAGCATTTTTTTCTCAGTGAATAACTTATGCTATTTTGGCTAACCTGGAATAAAGTGCAGTTCTGTCCTATTTGGCAAAGAATTTTGGTGAGATAAAAAAAAATGCTTTTGCCTTGTGCCATGATAGATGTCCTTGGGTAGCCTGATAAACCTGCACAGGGTTGGTGGATGTCATACAAAGCCTATGGGAGACCCATCTACTCTAGGGCCGTGGTTGGACTCCATGTGGGATATCTGGGAGCATCTAAAGCAGTACTAGATGTTTAGGGACCTGAACTGGTCCACTAGCACTCCATAGTCGATCCTCACTGGCAAAGGAAGCACAGCAAGTACAGAGTACACCTTGTAATGTACGTGTATAAAGAAAATCGAAACACTCGGTAATACACCATTTGGAACAAAAAGGGGAGCACATGGTGTGAGGAGACTGTGCATGTTTTTCCTTTCTGTACTCTGTGAAACTCTGGGTTCTTTGTCTGTCCTGAACAGTGTTTTCTCCTACAGGAGCCAGTGGAAGTTGTTGAAACAATGAGGCCAGAAGAGGTAAGACTGGGTACAGAAAAGGAGAGAGGTTAATTAAGTGCTTCTTTGCTCATTTCCTATCACTTGCAATACTTCCTGAACTCCAGCAACCTTAGTGATTGCCACAGCCATAGCTAAAGCCATTTTGTTCTTAGAATTGCACAATGGGCAGCTCTCACCCAGTAAGTGATTGTTCTGATAGAAGTGACTAATTTGATCTAGCTTTGAATCCAGCCCTACTGTAAGCAAGGTTTTGGACTAGTGACGTCTACAGTTTTCCCCTCACCTAGATCTTTCATTGGATCTGGGTTGTTCCTGTCTTACACAAAGGAACAATTAATCATCTTGCAGTGTTAAGGGGAAGATGCACTCAGAAGAGAAAGCTAAGATGTTCACTTCTTCCTTAAGCAGGAAGGAGCAAAACCTCACCTTCTCAGAAAACCTCTGAAGAATTGGGATTGCTGTGTTTCCACAGGGACTTGACATCTGGCAAGGAAGGGATGGGAAACCTGAGGGGTGTGATATAATGGGCAAGAGGAATGATCTACATAGGAAGGAAGAAGCATTAACAGGAGAATGGGAGTAGTTTGGGTACACAAGACAGCAACGCTGCTGATTACTGTAGGAGATTCCTCTTCTTTCCTGTATCAGATAGATGCTTGGGAACAGGAGGAACTGAACAAGAATGTGTGCTTTGACAGCTGCCGCATAGACCCTTCCCCTTTCCAACTGGTGGAGAGAACTTCCCTGCATAAGGTGGGTATGGATGTCTCCCTGAGGCATACACTGTTTCTCTCCACCCTATCATTGTGATTCTGGTCTATGACTTATTTCTTCTCCTTGTCTTCACCTTCAACTACTATCACCTGCTACTTCCATATCCAGCTACAGAAGTCACTTTGTTCCTATAAGCTTCTGTGCATACCTCCAATCTCCTGCGGAATGAAAGGCTACATGATAAGAAGTCTAAGTGCATTTACTAAAATAGATTTGGACACCACATAAGATTTTTCAGCCACTACATTAACAGAAGCATTGTATGCCTTGCTGCTGGGGGCATTACAATGAGACTTACTCCCTGCTTTGTCAGTGTGCAGCCCGGGAGGGACTAGTCCTGGATTTCTCAGGGTGTTTCTGTCAGGGTGTAGAGTCTGCCTCAGTGCTTGAGAAATGTTGCTTGAAACCACCCTATGTCATAGGCCGTTAATTTAGGTGTAGAACAAGGAATCTTGATCATACAACTTCTAGAGTTAGCACAGGATGACTGGGGATAAAAGCAATCATTGTAAGAGAGGACTGAGCTTTCACTCAGTGGAAAGGGAAAGCAGCCTACTGAAGCCAGAGTGCACAGTGCATGTCTTTATCAATATTCATTTAACATGAATAGTCAGCAAATGCACAGAATTAATTAATCATTCTTATCAAAGGGGTAAGATCTCAGCCTTGAGCAAAATAAGAACAGGTTAGCATATACTTAAGATGAATTTGGTGTTTTCTAAAGGACTGTCTGAAGTAATCTGAAAGCCATTAGTACTTATCTTCAAGAATATAGGTGTTACAAGAAGTTATAATTAAAGACTGGAAATGGGGACAGTTTCATACCTCTCATAAAAAAGAGCAAATTAGAAGCTCTGAAATAACAGAAAAGTCAACTTAACTTGGATGCACAAAAAAATGCAAGAATAATCAAACTATGTGAGGTATGTATAGTTAGAGCTACATGTAAGGCTACTGTTAATGGCAAAAATATCACACCTGATCAAGATCAAATTGTATTTAACCAGGCTGATTTTTTTTTACATTAGGGTAAAATGTCTTGTTCCTGACAAAATGAGATTTTTCCCTAGTTTACATTTGAACATGACATTCAGTATCTCATGTGATGTTAAAAAAAAGGCAAACACCAGCTGTGAAGAATGACTTCATATAAGGCCACAGGTAAAGTCCAGGTAGAGCTCAGCTTAAAGAACTTGGAGGTTGGAAACAGACCACAGAGCACTGAGATCCATGAAGAACTGTAAAGTAACATGGTCTGTTTAGGCTAAAGCGGTCATGACTGATAGCAGCATGATATCTGTCCTTTTGAGGAGGCTTCAAAAAAGGGAATAACTTATTCTCAGTGTTTCCACTGCGCTGGATAAGCAGCAACAAACTTTAGTTTTGACAGGAAATATTGTGGAACAAGAAAAAAAGACATTTTCTGGTGTTAAGGAAGGCACTGGAATAAATAACCTAAGTAGGTTCTGGCTTTGCATATTCCTATATGATAGTTTTATTTCCAGCAGCAAAATTAAAAAGGATCCGCATAAGTCCCCAGATAAACAGGATGTTGCATGTGAATCTGTGTTTGCCAGATACAGGATAGGAGTAACCTTGAGAATGTGCTCTCCATCATCAGCACACACCCAACTATGGCTGCATAGCACAAGGACCAAAGGGTGGTATTTGCTAGCTGCAAAAGGGGAAGGGAAAAGGTAGTTTCTCACTGAGATAACTGCAGTCTTGTGTGCCTCTGTGATTCCTGTTTCTACATCCCAAGTCCTAGTTGTAGCACAAAGTATTATGCTACTAATCCAAAGTCCCTGAAATGGTCTTTTGTGGTTTTGCTCATAGACACATACATTATTCTCATTACTGGGCCTCAGCCATGCCTATGTCACCAGTATGGGGAAGCTGAGGGGAGTGCTGGCATTGGAAGAGGTAAGTACAGATCCTTCCATCTCTTTCTAATCAACTGCAAATGTTCCCTGGTTCAATGCAGTAACCTACAGGTGCTGGAGGATCCAGCTGGGAATATATGTAACTGCAATTGCTACATTTTCAGTCCAGTGTTGAAAGCTTCTGAGTCAATGCTTTGGAAGCCATGTAGATGAATAGCTGAGTGTATTTCAGAGGAGGGAGCAGGTATTGTTTACAGGGATGTTAGATGGTGCATCCTTTTCACGAACATAGGGCTCTTAACTGGTGGCTATTACTGTCTCTGAAAATGGTATGGAATTTGTCATTTACCATGGAATGAAAAATTACACCACCAGTGCAAAAGATGGCCCCAGAGGTAGAGCTGTGACTCTATTTGTGATTCCTTTACCCTGGAGAGTAGATGAACTTCTGCTGGGAAGGGCTGGGTCAGCCTCCCTTTCATCCATGCGGGCTGAGCTTTTTTTCTTCTTGTAGCTCCAGAGGGCAATAGAGGGCTCCACACGCTCTGGGGTTCGCCTGCGCCCACCACTTGCCAGCTTCCGTGATACCAACCGGACTTCCATCAGCAGTGAGAAGGCCACTCAGGCCACTCAGGTGTGGAGCCGGCAGGACGACTGCACAGTGGAAGCACAGCAGGCAGCGGACTTGTGCATGGAGAGCCCGCTTCTTCCCGGTATGCACTCCCCCCATCACTCACACTTGCATGAAGAGGGGAAAGTCCTGTCCTCCACTTCTGCCACTGATACCGACTTGGAAGAGATGGAGCTGACAGGGCCAGTTGCTGAAAACATCTCAGACATCCTCAAGGACATAAGCCTACGCTCCACTGACCTGGATGAGGATGAAGATGAGGACGAGGATGTCCCCTTATAGCTGGTGTGAGGGGAGTAGTCATTCACACTCTTCAGTTGAGCCAGTTTTCTTGTGTTTGCTCCTCAAAGAGAAGCTTTTGGATGTTCTTTGCAATCGCCACAGAGGATTGATTCAGCTGGGAGAAGGGGCATCAGACTGATCTTTTCTACTGCTGCTTTCTTTGTGTGGACAGAGTGTTGGACTATATGGGTGTGTGCAGAAGTCAGATGTGGACTGCAAGGTGGTTAAGAGTGGGCTCATCATACTTAGGCTTCTGCCATGTTTATATAACACGGTAGAAAGAATTGTAACACGACATGAATACTGCTGGGCACAGTCAGGATGCTCTGGTTCAATCTGCCATGTGGAAAGTGGAGAAGGAGCAGCTTTTCTCATTCTCAATTGGTGTCATCTTGGAATTGGTGTCATCTGTGTCACAGCTGGCTGCACATACCAGTGTAAACACAGCCAAACCTCCAGCCTAGGAGCATATTGCTGCTTCTGACTGCAATCCTGTCCATGTTGCCACAGTTTCTTTTCTCTAGCTCTTATCTTGCATCCCCCCAACATTCCCATGTAGAACATTTTTCCTCTTTCTTAATTTTTACTCTGGGATTTTCTTGGGTGGGTGTGCAGTTAGGAGCTTCTCCTCTGTCCTTTAGCTGAGCCATGCCCTAAAAATAGATAGGAGGAAAATATTTAGTCTGTGTCTAATGTCTTGAATTCAGCCAGGGCTCTAAGAAAAGCACTGGAAGGGAGGAAAGCCTCTTTGTTTTCCCATCATGTCTGGAATTTTTCAATAGAATGGGAAAATCTTAAGTGGGGGCATCCTCAGTGTTGGAAGAAGAGAAGTAAAACAGCATGTGTGCACCTGTATTTCAAATACCTGTGTCTGTCTCTCTGAATCACCATTTTTACAAAGTTACAGTCTTAAAATGTAAGAACTAAAAGAATTATGGAATGTTAGCAGGCTGACGGGAACTACAGCAGAGTAGCCACATGATCTACACCGTGAAAACAGGTTTATCTCCGAAAATTCCTCCTCTCTTTCCTGGTAATTCTACCCTGCCTCCTTTCCACATATTTCTGCATAGCTGGAATTCCAGCTCTCACTTTTTCCAGCTTGTCTCCGTTGTGACTAACAGTAAAGACCTCAACCCTTGTCTGCAGCATCCTCCTCTATTCCAGTTCTAAATCTGGAGCAGATCTTGATCTCTATCTTGCAAAAAGATGTCTTGTCATGCATGCAAAACCTCAGCATCCAAAGATAAGATGCTGCTTTGTTTAACTCACTGTCCTTGTGAGGTTTTCTCAGTAAATAGGCAAAATCAAATTCTGTGTATTCTGTGGCTTTCCTCTTAACATTCAACATTTCTTACTATCACATTTCTGGTGTGTCCTGGTACTTAGCTGAAGTCCCAAGCAGCCTATTGGATGTGTTTCCACTTACCAGCAACAGAGAGGAAATTTAGGCTCTGAGAATATGTTCTTGGAGGGTATTCTCCCCGAAGTTGGGCCACATCTCCTTTCCTGATATTAGCAAAGCATCACCTAACTCAGAGTGACCAGTTTCACCTTAATGGGCAATTTTTCATAAGCTGTCTCAGGAGCAAGTGAAAAACACCATTACTTCTAACCTAGTCTCTCTAGGAAAATTCCCTCTTTGCTTTAATTCCAAGGATTGACCTTGCACCAGTTTGTCTCTGATGATGGTCATGGGTGGGAGAGTCTGGGACAAGCTTATAGTAGAGGGAAATCTCCCCAGATAGATCCTTAATGAGGGAGAGATTCATTTTTGCTGTCCGGAATTTAGAGCCCACCAGCTCCGTCTTGTGTTTGACACATGATCCCCCTCTATAAGCTAACTGGGAACAGCCTTTCCCTGGCTAAATGATCTCCTCTGACAGTCACGCTGTCCTTGTGAGAAGACAGTGGTGATCTGAGAGCAAGTCTCTTGCACACACCAGCTGCTTGCCTCCACCAGAGGGTTGTGGCACATTTCTAGCTGCCAGGCATTAGCACACAGCCTCCCTCCTACCTTTGTGTCACCTTCCCCTGCCTACAGAGAAGGGGCAAAACAACTGCTATATTTTCTCAGGGAACGGTGGTAGTCCTTTAAGTGCAAGAGAAAGGACATTCCTTTTAAAAACACATAAATGTGTGGTGAGTGGCAACTCCCTGAGACCAAATCTGATCTGAGGATACACACACCCTCAAGAAGGACAAATATCTGCAGGTCAGCCCCTGCCTTATTGTACTACCAAGTACAAGACTTATGTTTTGCAGCTTAGCAAAATGCTTGCCCTGAGACAGATGAGACAAGGAGAAATTTTGAGGCAGGAGTCAGTACACCTCCCCCTCCTCTCTCCTGAATACAGATAAATGTTCTACTCCAGTCCCACACTTCTCCTACAGTGTATTACAGAAGAACTGGGATCTGACTGGCTGAGAAAGCAGATGGAGTCTAAATCAAAGCCAGAGAGTGTGTGAGTCATGACAGACAGATTGTGAGCTGGGAGAGATGAAGCTGGAACAAAAATTATGCACATGGAAAGGCTTGGGGAGCTCAGAGTAAGACACAAGCTAACCTGGGAAGTTTCTTGAGACCTTCACCTGAGAGTACAAGAGCAAACACAAGTATGTCCACATATGCACCTGCACATCTCCGTTCCTGTTGCCTTCAGCTGTCCCAGCGTTACCATGAGGAACGCTGCTCTCTGTGGGGAAGCTGAAAGGTGAGTGTTACTGCTGCTCTTCGGAGGCACTACTCAAGATTCATTCCAGGTATGCCCCCACCCCTGGAGCAGAAGCAGCGTTCATCTGTACCATTTTCTTACCTGGAAAAAAGTATGTATAAATGAATGTGTATAGGGAGCCAAGAGGGGACAAAATACACCCTCAAAGATGGGTTGCGATGGCTGAAGATGTTTCCACTTCCATTTTACGAATACAGTCTTCACTGAGCTAATGCTGAGTACTTTAACAGGTGTGAAATGTGCAGTCAACTGACACAGGACCTTTGTGAAGACAACTCTAAGCTTGACCCTCTCAGGCAATCCCAGCAGGCCCCCTCAAAGCTTAAACTTAAAAGCTTTGTTCAGCAAACAAAGTCACACTCATCTGTTGCTGTAAAACCCGCATTTCTCATCCTATCCAAGTAGCACAGACTTGGCTACCCTACACACAGAAATCATTTTTGCCCCGACTCAAAGTATCATCTCCAGGATTTGTATCAGCACTGAGGCCTTCCCATTCAGCAGGGAAGTCAAATCTCAGATCTGCCCCCAAAAGCCCAAGCACAAACCTTGAAAAACAAGCAGCTCTGAGGCTGTTTTAAACCACGGAAGCTTGCTCTTCTCCTAAATAGCACGTGCAGTTGCATAGAATCATTATTCTGATCAGAGATTCATGCTACACCAAGCTTGCCACTACCACTCAAAGCACTAAAATAGAGCTGATCTTTTTCACCATTTTCAACTCCAAACACTTGCCAAACTACATCTGGTACCCAACGTGTAATAGTCTGAAAAGAACATGATACTGAAAAATCTCCATCAGAACAGAAAATGTTGGGAAAACACTACTACCACCACACACACAAAAATAATTAAAAAATCCTTTGACCTTGTTCTTCTAGATAAAACTAGTCTTGATCTCATCTAATTGCCAGTTTACTGATGCTCAGTTAATGAAGGCAAGACGTTATCTATTAAATTTTAATCTAGCAAAAAGTCAAACTCTTACACGACATGTGAAAGCAGAGTCATTTCTAAATTCATCAATATAAAGAATTGAAAAAAGTAAGACTTGAGGTTGACAAGACAACAGATAGGGCTTTGTGTATTAATGACAGGTCTAAGACTTGGTCATGATGAGGATGAAGGAGAAAATGCATGAAGATGGACTACTGGACAACAAAAAAAGTCTACCTGAACAATGTAACTTTGTTTTGGTTAGAAACTTACTTCAGACTTAGAAAGTTGTAGCTTGTTGACCCTATGGACAAAAACATTTAGCACAAGCAGAAACAGAGACAGAATCAAGAGTTCATAAAAAATAACTCTCCCCATCTCCCCAGCTATGGAAACACTGTAGAAAATTGTGTGGGTTTTGTGGCCAAAGAGTACAAGACAGAGCAATAAGCAGCTGAGCAAGTAAAGATCCCTCTTTGACAAGTCAGTCTAACCCAGGAAGGGTATAATTAAAACCACACTGTTAAAAATGCTGTCACAGCAAGCACTAAGCTTTTCATGGCCACATAAGCAAGGATCTAGGCACATAACAAGAGACCAATAATATTTCTGCACAAAAGCCATGCCTGAGCATTAGCATTCTCAGATAGAGAGAAAACTATTTTACCTTAAGCCATGTGATGAAGTTTTAAGGCGAGGGAAGCTTGAACTGGTCCTGACCATAAACCTCAGGCTCTCCTTGTGTGCCCGCAACCCCCCATAGTGGACAGACAACCCTGTGCACATGTACCCACATACACACACAGAGCCCACCTCTTCCAAACCACGGGTGTGCAATAGCAGGTGGCTCTGCGATTGGGTTGCCCATGCTTTGAGCCACAACTCCCTCTCCCTCAGCTGGCTGGAAGTCTGTAAGTCCTCTGCAGCCTCACAGCATTAAAGACAGTACTGTGGACACTGGGGTTAGTTGTGCTAGCTAAATGAAGCCAGTCTCAGCCAAAGCTGTTACTTGTTCAAGCACTGGCCTTTCAAATGAGCGTTGGCTCACATCCCAGCAGTTTTGGTGTGCTGCTTGTGCAAACATCTGCTGCTCCATAGTAAAAACAGTTACTGAAACATATCCAGCCAACTTGAAGGACTGCACCTGACATGGAGGGCAAAGTATGTTGAGGCAAATTTGTAAAGGAAACAATATAAAGAAATGAAAATGTGAATTGTCTGCTGTATATGAACAACAATCTAAAAGCTGCTAATACCTGGCTATTTACTGAAGAGCTACTTACTTAGTTTGAAGAACAGAAGGTAAAAATAGAAGACCTATTAAGATAA